CGGGCTGCGCTCCCGCTCCCCCGAGGCTCGGTCTCGGCCAGCCGCGTGCCCTGCCGCCCTCGGCTAGGCTGGCTCGGGAAGCGGGCAGAGGCGGTCCGGGGCATCCGACAGCCGGCGCCTCGAAGTATGCCACCTCGCTGGCCCCCCGGGGTGAGGCTGCTGTGGCCGAAATTCGGCCCGGGGTGAAACCCAACCGCCGGGCAGTCAAGGAGGCGTCGAAGGTCCTCCCCTTCCTTGCTGCGTGCGGCTTGGCTCACCTCCTTGAGCTGCCTCACCGGACGCTGCTCGGCAAAGAAACCGGGGCTCTCTTCTCGTCCGTGGGGAGGGATCCTGGCCCGCTTCCATCCTGCCGGTCGGCCGCCTCTAAGGAGGCATCGGTAGAAGCAGCGGTTCCTCCCCCGGGGAAGGCGCTCCTCTCTGGATCCTCACGTTCACGGGCCCGTTCCGGCCGTTCCTCTCCGGTCCCTTTTGCAGGCAGCTTCCTGAACAGTCAGCAGCCAAAGACGTTGATACGATGCAGAATGTAAATGACGGACTCTTTGAGCTGGAAGGGACCCTTGAGGCTATCCAGTCCATCCCCCTGTTCAGTCCGGGGATCCGAATCGCAGCCTCCGCAGGAGGCAGCTGGCCAGCCTCTGCTTCACCGTTTCTCAACCTTGGCCACTTGGAGATGCGTGGACTCCGACTCCCAGAATCCCCCAGCCAGCCATGGGGAGCCACTCTGGGAGTCGAAGTCCACGCATCTCAAAGTGGCCAAGGTTGAGAAACACTGCTCTGCTTGGGCGTCCCCAGCAAAGGGGTCACGCTTCTCCAAGCTGCCTTCCTCTATCCTTAAATCCAGACCCCGACCAGCAACAACTTGGGTCCAGAAGACCTCGGGGCACTTCAGTAAATTAAGCCCTTGGATGACCTGGAGATGTTGAAATGCAGATTAAAATATCTCCCTTTGGGCCGAAACAGGAGCAAAGGGGGGCCGCTCCCCCCTCCCCCCACTGCTTGCCCCCTCCCCACCCCGTGCCAATGGCCGTTCCTGTCTCTG